CCACCAGCATTTGGTGTTATCAGTGTTTTGGATTTTAGTCTTTGGGATAAGTGTATATTTATGGTATTTATCTTGTTGCTTTAAGTTATAGTTCCCTGACGACATACAATGTTTGTGGGGTTTTTGCTATAAACCTTTATTTTTAAATTTTTAAATGTTTTTCACTTCCTATTTTTTAAAATATAATTTATTGTCAAGTTAGGTAATATGCAGTATATTAAAGTGTGCTCTTGGCTTCAGGAGTAGATTCCCTTGATTCATCACTTACATACAACACCCAGTACTCTTCCCAACAAGTACCCTTCTCAGTGCCCATCACCCATTTTCCCTGCCCCACCCCCAGGCTCAGTTGGTTAAATGTCCGACTGACTCCCATCTCCGTGAACCCTCAGTTTGTTCTCTGTTTTTAAGAGTCTCTTATGGTTTGCCTCCCTCTCTGTAACTATTTTTTTCCCTTCCCTTCCTCCGTGGTCTTCTGTTAAGTTTCTCAAATTCCACATATGAGTGAAAACATGTGATATCTTCCTTTATTTTGACTGACTTATTTTGCTTAGTGTAATACCTCTGGTTCCACCCATGTTGTTGCAAATGGCAAGATATCATTCTCTTTCATTGCTGAGTAGTAGTCCATTGTATATAAACCACATCTTCTTTATCCATTCACCAGATGACATACAATGTTAAGCATCTTTTTTTTGTATGCATATTTGCCACATGTATATCTTTTTTGGTGAGGTGTATTTGTGTGTGTGTGTGTAATTTTTTTTTTCTTTTACTTGTGAGAGAGGGAGAGAGAGCAGAACAGTGGCAGAGGGAGAGGGAGAGAGAGAATCTGAAGCAGGCTTCATGCCCAGTGTGGAGCCTGACTCAGGGCTCTATCTCACAGTCATGAGATCATGACACGAGCTGAAAACAAGAGTTGGACATTTAACTGACTGAGCCACCCTGGTACCCCTTACCATGTTTTTAATTTGATTGTTTATTTTATTATTGTTGAGTTTTTGGCATGCTTTATGTATTTTATATTTTAAATTCTATTTTTTATTTCTTAGAGAGAGTGAGAGCACAAAGGGAGAGAGAGGCAAAAGGAGGGAGAGAGTCAAGAGAATCTTTTAAAAAGAAATTTTTAAGTTTACGTATTTATTCTGAGAGAGAGAGGGGGAGAGAGAGAGAGAGAGAGGGAGGGAGAGAATCCCAAAGAGGATGCAGAGCCCATTATGGGGCTGGAACTCATGAACCGTGAGATTGTGACCTGAGCCGAAACCAAGAGGCAAACGCTTGACCAACTGAGCCACCCAGGCACTCTTAGGGAGAGAGAGAATCTTAACCAGGCACCACATTCAGTGCAGAGTCCCATGTAAGTCTTGATCCCACAATGTTGGAATCATGACCTGAGCTGAAATCAAGAGTTGGACGTTCAACTGACTGAGCCACCCAGGCGCCCCATGCTATATATATTTTAGATGCGAATTATTTATCAAATAGTGTTTTGCATATATTTTCTCCAAGTCTGTGGCTTCTCTTTTCATTCTGTTAACAGTGTCTTTCACAAAAGTTTTCAATTTTAATGATGTACCACTTACTAACTTTTTTCTTTGGTGGATTATGCTTTTGGTGTTGTATCTGAAAACTCGTTACCTAGGGCTCCTGGGTGGCTTAGTTGGTTAAGTGTCTAACTTTGGCTGACAGCTCGGAGCCTGGAGACTGCTTTGGATTCTGTGTCTCCTTGTCTCTCTGCCCCTACCCTGCTCATTCTCTCTCTCTCTCTCTCTCTCTCTCTCTCCCTCTCTCTCTTTGCTGTCTCTCTCAAAAATAATCAAAAACGTTTAAAAAAATCTTTAAAAAAAAATTCATCACCTAAACCAAGATCATCTAGATTTTTCCTATATTATTATCAAGAAGTTTTACAGTTTTGTATATCATTTTTATATCTGTGATCCATTCTGAGTTAATATTTGTGAAAATATTAAGATCTATGTCTAGCTTCCCCCCCCCCCCCACATATGGATTTCCAGTTGCTTTCTAGTATCATTTGTTGAAGACTTTCCATTCTCTACTGGATTGTCTTTTTTCCTTTGTCAAAGTTTAAGTCATCTTTTCTCTTTTGTCAAAGTTTAGTTATTCTTGTGAGTCTAGTTCTGGACTCTATTCTGTTCTCTTGATCTGTTTATTCTTTCACCAATACCACAGTGTCTTGATTATTGTAGCTTTATAATATGTCTTGAAGTCAAGGGGTATCTTTTCTGACTTTGTTCTTCTTCAACATTGTATTGGCTGTTCTGGTCTATTGCCTTTCCATATTATTAGAAACCAAAATTCAGCTGAGTGAAATTTAAATATCTTAATGGCTCTATTCAACAATTTGTGAATCAGGAAGCATTCCATCTAGAAGATAGACACACTGAAGGGCTGTACAAAATGGAAAGAGTTATAGAGGCAGAAGAGGGCAAGGCAAGGAAGTTGCTAGTAAAGAATGGATTGTTTTTCACCTTCCATTAGGGGATGGCAGGGTTCTGTTAGGCAGAAACTCAGGCAGCACTCACTAGTGCTGATCAGGTAATTTCAGACTGACTGGTTTAATATCCTACTTCTGGGAGAAGTTGAAACGAATTAAGTATTAGGTCTCAGTCTGGTAATGTGGGCTTAGCACAAGTGACTCAATTTTGAGCATGATGTCTCTTTTTAAACAATGTAGAAACAATATAAACTTAAATATTACTTAAAATGTTTTAATGTTTATTTTTGAGGGGAGAGAGACAGAGAGAGAGAGAATGAATAGGGGAGTGGGGGAGAGACAGAGAGAGAGGGAGGCATAGAATCCAAAGCAGGCTCTAGTCGTTAAGCTGTCAGTACAGAGCCTGACATGGGGCTCGAACTCAGAAACCGCGAGATTATGACCTGAGCCGAAGTTGGGCACTCAAGCGACTGAGTCACCCAGATATCCCAACAATATAAACTGTAGAATCATTTTTTTTGATATCCAAGTTGGATTTTGGCTTGGACTGCATTGAATCTATAGATCTAGTTGGGAAGAACTGACCTTTTGACAATATTGAGTCTTCCTGTTCATGAATATGCAATATTGCTTCATTTATATAGATCTGCTAGGATTTCTTTAGTGAATTTTGCATTTTTCATTTGAAAGTTTATCTTGGAGATCACTTTTTCAAAACCTTTAAAATATTTATTTATTTAAGAAATCTGTACACCCAGCATGGGGGCTTGAACTCATGACCCTGAGATCAAGAGTTGCATGCTCTTCCAAGTGAGCCAGCCTGGAGATCACTTTAAAAAAAAAAAATTTATTTTGAGGGAGAGAGAGAGCAAGCAAGCAGAGAAAGAAGAGGGAGAATCCCAAGCAGGGGCTCGGGGCTCGATCTCATGAACTGTGAGATCATGATCTAAGCTGAAATCAAGTCAAATGCTTAACTGACTGAGTCACCCAGGCAGCCTGGAAGCACTTTATATTATCACATCCCTCATCCTTTTTAACACATGAATAATGTTTCATTGTGTATTGTATAAAATTTTATATAACCTTTCTCCTGTTGATGGATGTTTATTTAGGTTGTTTCCATTTTTTTCTACCACAAATAGTGCTGCAGTGTGATTCTCTTATCATTTATCTTTGTGCACAAGGTGGGCAAATCTTTGGCTAAATTCCTAGGAATAAAGTTGTTTGGTCAAAAGTACGTACATTTTTTTTTTTTTTGAGAAGGGAGAGAGAATGATCAGGGATTGGGGGGGGGTGCAGAAGGAGAGTGAGAATCTCAAGTAGGCTCCATGCCCAGTGTAGACCTCAGTGTGGGGCTTGATCTCACAACCATGAAATCAAGACCTGAACTGAAATCAAGAGTCAATTGCTTAACCACCTGAGCTACCCAGGTGCCGGAAAAGAGTGTACATTTTTTATTTTGGTAACTTTTGCCAATTTTCCCTTCAAAGAAGTATATTACATTCCCAAAACAGTACATGGGAGTATTCATTTTCTGTAGCTTCACCAATACAGCAGTTGAATCTTATAATTTTAATCAATTGAATCAGAGAAAGATATACCTCACTGTAGTGTTTTTTTAGTTTTTATTTTTGAGACAGAGAGACAGGGTATGAGTGGAGAAGGGACAGAGAGAGAGACACACACACAGAATCCAAAGCAGGCTTCAGGCTCTGAGCTGTCAGCACAGAGTCCAATGCGGGGCTTGAACTCATGAACCACAAGACCATGACGTGAGCTGAAGTCGGCCACTGACTGAGCCACCCACACACCCCCCCATGGTAGTATTTATATTTCTTCAGAATGTGAGATTGGGCTGCTTTTTATCTATTTAAAAGTCCTAATAGAATCAACTACCTTTTAAAAACTGGTTATGTTGAGGGCACCTGGGTGGCTTATTTGGTTAAGTGTCAAACTCTTGATCTCAGCTCAGGTTGTGACCTCACAGTTTGTAGGATGGAGCCCCTAGACCCTGCTTGGGATTCTCTCTTCTCTCTCTCTGCCCCCTCCCCCTGCTTGCACTCTCTTGCTCAAAATAAATAAATAAACTTAAAAAACAAAACCTGATTAATTGGAAAAATGTTGGAATTATGGATGACTCACAACCCCTTAAGATAAGTAAATGTAAATGGTAAAATATTTAAGGCTTTTAAATTATACTCTTTAAAAAACAAGATGCTTTTGGTATTCAGTTTTTCTAATTAATAAACCATTTACCATACTGTCCTTATATAAGTATTTGAAACAATTTTAGAATTATAATTACTTTTCATCTGGACTACTACATGGCTTCTCATGTGGTTTAAATAAAAGCTATTTAACATTAATAAAATGTGATAATTTTTAATATATATCTTAAAGTTGGCATATGATACTAAGGTGAAAATTTATAAGTGATACCACTTAACCATTCTTTTTTTCTTTCACTACAACTTTATTTAAAAAAATTTTTTTAGAAAAGGCATATATTTCTCCGTGAAAAAGCAACTCATCCTTGTTGTTTCAGACCTGTAGATATCTGGGCTTTAGGTTGTATGATCATTGAGATGGCCACTGGAAATCCCTATCTTCCTAGCAGCTCTGATTTGGATTTACTTCATAAAATTGTTTCAAAAGTAGGTAGGTACTACTGGAACATACTGTTAAGTGCCTGAAATAGATATTGCCAGATCTCTCCTGCTTGATTTTCAACTTCTATTTTTCCTTTATAAGAACAGGGAAGCATATTGTTTTTTTTTTTTTAATGTTTTATTTATTTCTAGGAGAGAGAGAGAGACAGCGTGAGCAGGGGAGGGTCAGAGAGAGAGGGAGTCACAGACTGAAACAGGCTCCAGGCTCTGAGCTGGCAGTCAGCACAGAGCCCGACGTGGGGCCCGAACCCACGAACCGCGAGATCATGACCTAAGCGAAAGTCGGACGCTTAACCGACTAAGCCACCCAGGTGCCCCATGACCCCATGAAGCATATTGTTTTGATAGATGGCAGCAAGTGGATGCCCTGGGCTGGTAAAGAAGATAGAAGAGTCTTCTCTGTTTTTGTAAATAATATTTTCTTTGCTAGGATGCAAGTAGCTAAGACATTTGCTAATGGTTGATACTAAGAAAAATAGTACAGTAGGAACCTACTTCAAATTGTCTGAAAGTTGATCTAAAGTTTTGGCTTCTACAAATATTTGCATCTCTGAAAGAGGACTTTTAAATAATAGAGTTGATTTAGATGTCTTTTTAAAGAACTTAGAGATAAAAAGTTACTTACTGAGAAAACTTTTTTTTTTTTTAAGCCACGATAGATAACCAGGTAGCTAAATAAGTTATTCAAAAATACATTTGATGACTGGTGCCTTGGTGGCTCAGTAGGTTGGTTAAGTGTCTGACTTGGGCTCAGGTCATGATCTCACAGTACGTGAGTTCAAGTCCTGTGGCGGGGTCTGTGGTGACTGGTAACAGCTCAGAGCCTGGAGCCTGTTTCAGATTCTGTGTCTTTCTCTCTGTCCTTCCGCTGCTCGCACTGTCTCTGTTTCTCTTTCAAAAATAAATAAACATTAAATTTTATTAAATGATTTTTAAAGAAAATTAAAAATATACTTGATGAGAGCTGAATTATGATGATCTGCCTTGACTACACAAATATTTTGATGGTTAGCCTTGCTCATGGAGTTTCAATGATTTATTTATTTTTATATATTTCTGAATGAGGAGCTTGAGGAGCCCCTTTTGTGGTAGAGAAGCTATAGGTAAACTTGTAATTACAGGATCATGAGGAAGGTACTGTGAGCACCTATAAAAATCATGAAATCTGGATAAATATTAAAGATACAGTTCAGGGTCTTAAAGCATCATATTTTGGGGGGTCATCTTTAAAGTTCTGGCTCTTAGATTAATGTTAGAAAAAACCCTAGAGATGTTGGGATTACTTTTGTCCTTTTACACGTGAGGAAACTGAGGCATAGAAAGGAAAAAGATTTGCCCAAGGTCACAAACTAGTTATAGCAAAACTGGCACTAGAACGTAGCTTTCTCCACTCCTGTTTATAGTTCTTTCCATTCTACCAATTCTCCATAGCCTTGTTTCTTCTTTGCAATATTTGTTTCTAAATAATTTGGATATTTTAGCTGTTTTGAGTAAGGCTTTGCTTATGAACACTTGTGAGTTAAACTGTTTCGACACCCATATGGAAATATGTAAAAGTTTATGCTTTTCCTGATAGCATCATATATTATGTCTTATAACTGGGAAAGTGAAAACGAGCCTGATGGTTTAAAATTTTCTACTGCCTACATGCTATCAACAGATTACTGGGGAAACTTACGAATTTCTATGCTGTATTCGGAGAGTGCCTTGTTCAACCTTAAAAAATTAAAGGAACATAATTGTTATTCTCCCTTTTTAGTAATTTAATGCAGACCACATAGCAATTTGTTTATTTTGATTTTAGATTAATTTCCTTATATTTGTATATTTTTTTCTTTCCAGGCAATTTGACACCTCATTTACAGAATATCTTTTCCAAGAGTCCCATTTTTGCTGGGGTGGTCCTTCCTCAAGTTGAACACCCCAAAGATGCAAGAAAAAAATACCCAAAGCTAAATGGATTGTTGGCAGATATAGTTCATGTATGTTAAGATTTAAGGATATTTTTGGGAAATTTGCATAAGTTATAATATGGTCTTAGGATATTATTTTAATGAAATTCCAAAAGGATTCATAATGTTATCTGTTAACAGTTACTATATTCCTTTGTCTTTATGTCTTTAGTTCAGAGAAATTAAAATTCATAGACTATAAAACTGAAAGCTCCCTAGGATAATCCTGTCCATTATTTTTAGTTTATCCCAGTTTTAAGAATTTTTTTCTACATTTTATTTATTTTTGAGAGACAGAGAAAGACAGAGCACAAGTGGGGGAGGGTCAGAGAGAGAGAGGGAGACACAGAATCTGAAATAGGCTCCAGGCTCTGAGCTGTCAGCACAGAGCCTGACACGGGGCTTGAACCCACAAACTGTGAGAACATGACCTGAGCCGAAGTTAGAAGCTTAACTGACAGAGCCACCCAGGCGCCCCAGTTTATCCCAATTAGGGATAAACTGGAAAAATCCAAAGGACTTACCATGTTTATTGCCACCTTTTAACAGCCAGTCTACCCAAGTTAGGGATCTGTTCCTTGTACACTGGTATCCTAAGATATCTGCAAGGCATTGACACCTGCAGTTTTAATTTTGTAAATTCATCCTGAATTTTCAGAAAACAAAAACATTATGCTGTACAGCACATTCTGATTATTTTAAAATTTAAATTTTATTTTAAGCTAGGCAACAAATATGCCAGTATACATAGTGCAAAATTTAAAAAGTAAGAGAATTTACTATGGAAAGTAAATCTGCTTCTATTTATTTTTTCTATCCAGCCAATTTCCTTTCCCAGGTCAACTGAGGTATCTTATTTCTGATGTATAGCCCTTTAAAAAAAAGTGGTTACCCAAATTTCAAAGCAGATATGGTGTAGTGTTTATCAGAAGGGGCTCTGGAATCACATAGCCTAAAACTCAGCTCTGTCACTAATTAGCTCTGTAACCTTGGAAAGTCACTTAATCTTTGTGCCCCAGTTTACTGGGCTGTAAAACAACATTAACAGTCTTCATTTTCTGGGGCTAGAGAATTAAGTGCGGTAATGGTGAAAATGTTCTGAGCACAGGGCCTTCGATAAGCTATCAACAAATGTTAATATTAATGTCATTAACATTAACAAATATTAATATTGTTGGAGTTGTTATTTAGGTAAACTTGCTAACCATATGATATGTAACATCTAAAGACTATTCTTAAAGGAAAAAATGATTTCATTGTATCTGGAGAGAACTAGAGTTTAGTAAGAATTAGATTTGTTTACTATATTTTCAATTGAATTTATTTTTTATATCATAGTTTTCATTCTGCAAAGAATGCATAATGATTGTAGAAAAAAGTAGAAAATACAGGATAAACAAAAAGGAGAAGTTAAGATTTTCCCACAATCTGGAAAAATTACTGTTGATACTTTGATTTATAACCTTCTAGGCTTTTGTCAACCAAATTTATGCATAGAAATGTATGCTTTTTAAAAGATGTCATACCTCACACACTGTTATGTGACCAGTTTGTTATGTCACCATGTCAGTAAATATGGAACTGTATCATAGTTTTCAGTGGTTACATAGTATTCCATTGTCTGACTATACTGTACTTTAACTGAGCTTACAATTCTGAATGTTTTCAGGTTTTCTCCCTCACTATCGGTAAAGATATTTTAGTGAATATGTTTTATTTATTTATTTGGAAATATGTATTTATTTACCTTAAGAGAGAGAAAGTATGAGCAGGGGAGAGGCAGAGAGAGAGGAAGAGAGAGAGTCCCAAGCAGGCTTCAGGGTGGGACTAGGTTCCATGAACCCATGAGATTATAACCTGAGCTGAAATCAACAGTAGGACGCTCAAGTGACTGAGCCACCCAGGCGGCCTAGTGAACATCTTTTAATATGTCTTTTTGAACTTACTTTATTATTTTTTTAGCATAAATTCCTAGAATTGTGATTAGTGGGCCACAGGGTTTACACTTTTTCAGAATTTTTGATATACTTTCCTATTTTTTCCCCCAGAAAAGTTTCACTGATTTATATTCAAGTACTCCCAAGTAGCATTGTATATAAATTTCCACTCTCAATCTAACATTGGATATTACAATTTTTAAAGTATTTGCCCATTTTTTATTGTTTAAAAAATGTTTAAGAGAGAGAAAGCATGAGCCAGGGGAGGGGCAAAGACAGAAGGAGAGAGAGTCTTAAGCTGGTTCCATACCCAGTGTGGAGCCCAACATGGATCTTGATCTCACAATCCTGGAATCATGACCTGAGCCAAAATCAAGAGTCTGACACTCAACTGACTGAGGCACCAACGTGCCCCTATTTGCCTAATTTTTAAAAGTAACCTCTACGACCAATGTGGGACTCAAACTCTTAACCTCAAGATCAAGGGTCACATACTCCACTGACTGAGGCAACCAGGCATTCCAAAGTAATTGTAAATTTAATAAGTTTAAAATAGCATCTATATTTTAGTTGCAGTTATATAATTACAGGAAAGGTTGACTATTTTACCTTTCTTATTAATATAATATGATGTTAATTGGCCATAAATGATTAAAAATTAGTTGTAAATAATTAAAAATTAGTTGTGTATAATATAATATAAATATAAAGAAATAATATAAATAAACAATATTTAAGAATGATTAAACTATTTGTCAATTAGACTATCTTTTTTCATATAGATTTGTAAAATTATAAGCATATTAGTCTTTGTCATATATGTTGTAAATAGTTTTCTTCAACTTGAATAATCCTGTGACTTGGCATGCCACATTTATCATAGACAAAATGCTTATACATGCTTGGGTCTATTTCTATTTCATTGATTTCCATTTTTATTCTAGTGTAAGTACCAGATTCATTGATTATTGTAACTTAATTTTTGTTTTTAATTACTCCTTCTCACTTTTATTTTATGTTTTATTTTTTAGTAATGTCTATACTCAACATATGGCTTGAACTCAGAACCCTGAGATCAAGAGTCACATGCTCCACCGACTGAGCCAGTCAGGTGCCCCAATTATTGCAACTTTAAAATACATCTTTATATTTGGGCAAAGCATGTATCATTTCCTAGATTTAAATTTTGTAAACAACTCTACTGGGGTATAATTTTGTACAGTAAACTATACATGCTTAAAATGTGCAACTTGATGAGTTTTGAAAGGTATATCCACCTGTGAAACCACCACCACAATCGAGATATGTAACATTTCCATTACCCTCTACAATGTCCTCTTGTCTTTTTTCAATCCATCTTTCCCACCATTTCCGTTCTCAGACAACCTCTGAGCTGCTTTCTGTCACTGTAGATTAGTTTACATTTACTAGACCATATACACATGGAATTACATAGTGTGTACCCTTTAACTCAATATTATGATTTAGAGATTCATTCATGTCTTTGTGTGTATCAGTAGTTGATTCCTTTTAATCGCTGAGTAGTAGTCCGTTGTATGGACCTGTAACAATAAATAATCTATTCCCCTCTTTGGGGTTGTTTCCTATTTTTGGCTGCTACAAATAAAATTGCTATGAACATTCATGTACATGGCTTTGTGTTGATGTATATTTTTATTCTCTTGAGTAAATATCTAAGAGTGGAATGGTGGGTGGGTTTAAGGTATGTGTTTGTTTGATTTTTAAAGGAATTGCCAGTCTCTTTTCAAAGTATCATATTTTACATTTTCCAAACTAGGTCATGGATTTAAATTTTCTAATTATATTATATGGAGAAGTACTAATTTAGTCTACCTCCAGTAGGCTATGGCTTGGGCAGACTTTTTAACATTTTTCTTAATAAGTTTTATTGATGGATTACTATTATATTCTTAAATAAGTACATATTTTGCAGTTTTAATGGTATGGGTATTCCCACCTCGTAAAGTGGATGATGAATTCAGTTTTGCTTTGTGATTCAATATATTTTTATTATGGTAAAAAACACATATGGAATCTACCCTCTACCAAATTTCAAAATGTATAGCATAGCACTGTTAGCTGTATCCATATTGTTGTATAGCAGATCTTTACAACTTTTTGAATCACTTTAAACATACATATGTGGACATAAACCAAAAGGTAATATTATATTCAATTACCTTGTATTTTCTGGATTTTAATTCTCCTTTTATTTGTTAGATCTTAGACAAACTTATTTCTCTAGGCCTCAGTCTCCTTATCTGTATAATGGGAATGATAATAATACGTACCTTGTAGGGTTGCTGATGGGATCAAGTAATAGGAAAAAGCTAGGTAGTGTTGTGTGGCACATAGTAAACATCAATAAAACTTAGCAATTATTATTATGCTTTGCTTTCTTTTAAAGGAGGAGTGAAAATTATAATGCAAATGAATTTTATTCAAATTCTATCTTTAATATTTTGGTTAAAAATATCTTCTATTTACAACTATATATAAATTTATTATGTTCGACTAATTTCAAAATGATTTTTTAAATTTTTTAAAAAATATTTATTTATAAGAGAGAGAGTGTATGAGCAGGAGAGGGGCAGAGAGAGAGGTAGGCACAGAATCTGAAGCAGGCTCCAGGCTCTGAGCTGTCAGCACAGATCCTGATGCGAGGCTCAAACCCATGAACCATAAGATCATGACTGGAGCCGAAGTTGGATTCCCAACCAACCTAGCTATCCAGGCGCCCCTCAACTTATTTTTAAAACTCTTAATTCTACCACCTGTTTTTGTTTTGTTTTTTTAAATCTCTATTCAGTTGAAATATTTTCAGGATAGGGTAACAGAAAAGAGCTGTTCTCATAATGGATTATTGAAAGATTTGGGGAGTTGAATGTTTGTGAAGTTGTATTATGCCGTAGAAAGAGCCCTGGATTAGGATTCAGACGATATGAGTTAAAATCTTCGTATAGTAAATCACTAATTATGCTTCTAGCTCTGAAAAGGGAAATAATAATCTGTGAACTTTTTACCTTACAGTGCTGATAAGAGGATCAAAAAGAACTAATTAATTTTTGCTAATTCCAGCTGTAGTTTGCTAATTCCAGTTAGTAACAAACTAACTTCTGTTTTGGCTAGAATCATAGGACATTTAACCCGTAATAATGCTTTATAAGTACAGATTTCTTAGGGAAATAAATGGTCAAAACTCACTGTCAGAAATTCCTAAGGTCTAATTCCATCTTTTTAAGCACCTTTTTAGCTCTAGGTAATTAGTAACTTCTACATATGTCAAGTAAGTTTAAGATTTACCATATAGAGCCCTGTTAGGAACTTTCTTAACGTTAGAATCTTTTTTTCATTTTCTAGGCTTGTTTACAAATTGATCCTGCTGAGAGGACATCATCTACTGATCTTTTGCATCATGAGTATTTTACTAGAGATGGATTTATAGAAAAGTAAGCATGTTGAGTGAGTGTGGACTTTATAGTGTTTTGTTTTAGGAAATTTTACTAGCATGAAAATTGCTGCATAGGTTAATGTTACACACACACAAAATTCAATTTAAGAAAAACTTTACTGAGTCCCTCTATTGACTAGGTACATGGTAGGCATACAGGTGTTATGATGAAAAGTCTAATAAAAATAATTGTAGTTAACATTCATTGCAGTTACTATGTCCTAGGCAGTGTGCCAAGCTCTTTATACACATTTTCAATGTCAACCATAGACCAGAAGGTAGTAAATAAACAACCAGTACTGTTTAACTCTATTCCCATTTGGACCTCTGACTCAGAATAGTCTGGTTTCCTCTTCTGACAGCTTCTCTGATCTATATGTTATAGTTGGCATTTACTTCCCAAAGGATTTTTTTCCTCTGCCTTATTTATTCTCTATTGCAGTGGCTGTCATCATAGTCTCCTTACCAAAGTGGAAGTTCCTGGAACATAGGGACCATGCCTTTAGCCCTTCTGTGTCCAACATTATATATGTAATATATAATCACAGTGTAGATTTATAAATCAACTGTATTTCTTTAAAAAAAAAAAGCCACCATTTTCTATTTGAGCTTTGAAAGAAGATTTTTTTTTAATTTAATTGCGTAGTCATTCACTTGATCTTTGGATGTAAGGTCAGAAAATACAGACATCATTGGAAAATGTGATGGATTTAAGATTAGGCATGGAAGGTGCACCTGGGTGGCTCAGTCAGTTAAGCGTTCAGCTTCAGTGCAGGTCATGATCTCACGGTTGTTGGGTTTGAGCCCCACGTCGGGCTCTGTGCTGACAGCTCAGAGCCTGGAGCCTGTTTCGGGTTCTGTGACTCCCTCTCTCTCTCTGACCCTCCCCTACTCACGCTGTCTCTCTCTCTCTCTCTCTCTCTCTCTCAGAAATAAATAAAGCATAAAAAAAAAAAAGATTAGGCATGGAAAGTTCCAGGAACTACACCTTTCAGGTGTAAGAAGAGAGGCAAAGAAGAGAGAATCCTTTAGAATACTTAGAACTTTAAGCATTTTAAGAATTTTAATATAAAACAAAAAATTTAAAGAAGATATATTGAAAATCCATTGGTGAAGAAAGTGCCAGTTATTGAATTAAAAAATTGCTTCATATCACTTCTCCATAGACCAAGTTGATTTCTCTTGGGTACTTACATACTAGGATTTTAGCATGATGCGATGAAAGTTCTTGAATTCCAATGATTGAATTCTCAGAAAATGTTTGGGGAAGGCTTTTCCCTTTGATAAGTGATCTTTTCCTTTCACAGAACCTTCTGCAGTGCAAAGCAGTTTTGACAGAAGTATGACAGTTTCCTATTCAGCCAAATGAATCACACTGTTTATTTTCTTCATCTCTTCACACTCCCCTTTACTAGACATGTGCCCTGCACAGCCCTGGCAAGATTGGGCTAAACTAGGGAAGAATTTACTCATGGAATGGTATTTTAAAATGTCCACAAACAAGGGGACACCTGGCTGGCTCAGTTGGTGGAACATGTGACTTTTGATCAAGGGGGGTGAGTTCAAGCCCCACCTGTATGTAGAGACACTTAAAAAAATAAATAAAATAAAATTTCCTCAAAGTAATAATAATACCTGCTTCAGGGTGGGGAACTGTACAACTCAGGGGCAGGGTAGGAAGGAGACTTTTCAGCACAGCCTTTTGAATTTTGAGCCATGTAAATGGATTTTTTTATTAAAAAATAAGTAATATAAAAAAATCAAACTAAAACCAAGATGATCTCCTTTCAATACTGATGTATTCTGTTACATTTTATACTAAAAATATTTCTCTAGAGTAAGATTTCAGGAGCTAATTAGTTCATCTTTTAAGTACTATTACTTTAAAGAACCACAAAAAGGATAAAATGGCTTGGGTTTTTCTTGGAAAGAATATATTTATAAAAATTAAAAAAAAATAATTTTATTGAGTAAAGTTCGCATCATAAGAGAAATATAATTCATATAAATCCATTTTGTAAAAGTTTTATATAGTAAATCCCATGCCAAAATTTTTGGAAGATTTGTCTTTACCAGGAAGCAATTTGTATTAAATAAATATTGTACTATCTCTTGGCACAAATGAATTTTTGATAACTTATTTATGCTGTAGCTGGTATATAAATTAATTGATTAACTGGCCCATTAAGGATAAAATACTTTATATAAATAAAAGATTATTGGCTGATAATTGCTTGTTTTATCAGATTCATACCAGAACTGAGAGCTAAATTACTACAAGAAGCAAAAGTCAATTCATTCATAAAGCCAAAAGAGAATTCTAAAGAAAATGAACTTAAAAAAAATGAAAGAAAAACAACTTCTACCAATACACTGCTAAGTACTCCAGTTTTGGGAAAGGTAAACACTATTCTCTTTCTGGCCTGTACAACTGTACTATAGGTTGCACTCTAATGATAAAAATAACTGTTCTTCTGACTCGCATTTTGGATGTTTGGATGTTTCCTATTCCAGGAAATGGAAAAAGAGAAAAAGCCCAAGGAGATCAAAGTCAGCATTATTAAAGTCAAAGGAGGAAAAGGAGATATCTTAGAATCAAAAAAGACAGAGTGTGAAGGTGGACATTGTCAAAAGGATGCAACTGGAAATGCTCATACTGTGTCTCAAGACACAACCCCTATAATCAAGGAACTACCAACCCCTGTCAATCCCGGCACTAAGGCTAATGGAATGAAAGATGATCCACATGCTGGAGGTAGTATGATGATGCCACCTATCAATCTAACTAGCAGAAACTTGGTGGCTTCAAATCCCAATTCAGATGTTTCCCACCGCAATTCAAGGTGAGTTGTGACAGAAAAAAGACAGAAGGAAATGAACCCAAGTGATACAATGTTCTTGTATAAAGGCATTTCAAGGAATCAAGTTCATGGTGTCTGTATATAAACTGAATTTGAGGATATATTGAAATTATAATAATAGGCCATTATTGAGTGTTTCTTAGGAACACCATAGAATAAATTAACTTTTCTTGCCTGTATAGATGTTTAATTTTTCACTAATGCCTTTTGGAAAAACCCTGCTTTTTAAAAAAAAAGACCCTCAGAATAATTTCTTCTCATTTAAAGAAGAAAAAGGTGATATGGCCTAGGTTCTAGAATTGATGTGCCTTGGTATAACAAAGTAAGCATTTTTTTCTGTATTATAGCATATTTTCTAAATGGAGAAAGAACAGTTAAAAATAATTGTTTATAGTCAAATAGTCTTTGAAATAACTATTTGGGGAGGAAAACAACATATTGAGCCAGATTTAGCTACTGCTACAAATTGAAAGACTGGTACCATAAGTCTGGTTAATCAAGGGCAGTGTGATATATAGCAAGGGTCTATTTAGTAAGGAATCAGGGCTAGTTTTAAATTTAGTGCAGGGCACCTAGGTGGCTCAGTTGGTTGGATGTCCAACTCTTGATTTCGGCTCAGGTCATGATCTCAGGGTCATGGGATTGAGCTCTGCATCAGGCTCTGTACTGAGTGTGGAGCCTGCTTAGGATTCTCTCCCGCCCCCTCTCTCTCTCCCTCCCTCTCTCACTCTCTTTCTCCCTCTGTCCTCTCTCATGCTCCTGTACTCTCTCTCTAAAATAAAATAATTTAAAAAATTCTTTAAATTTAGGGAAACTACCATGAATCTGGATTAGGAAGGAGACTAGGTACAGCATCCCAAGCCCATACTAGCAGACTGGTTTGGGCTATAAGTTGTGATGCTCATTGGTCTGCAGAGGTGGGCCAGTGGACGTTTCTGTGTCAGTCCAAAGGCACAGCAGTCTACAGACAGAAAGAGCCCATTTGTTCTTGAGAGGACCCCAACGCCCTAGTTGCAATAACTGTGGTTGTAAGCCAGCCTTGGACAGCAAGCTCAGAAATTCAGAAACCACTAGTTGAGAGATCTGGATTTAGAACAAGTACAAGGGACCAAGTAGGCTGGCTGGAGTGACCCTACAACATGGTTGTCACCACTGATGTTAGCCATGAGCAAGTTGTTCTCTGCTCTGTTTCCACCTACTTAGAGCAGTTGGCACTTACACAATGGCAATTGCATTTTGGCACTCAGTATGCAAACTATAGACTGCTGTGGTATCACTTCATTACTGAAGCTAAAACAGAAGTACTTCTGGGGAGTTCTAATAACTTCGCCTTCATTTTTAAATAATAGGTTGACTGAAAGAGCGAAAAAGAGACGTACTTCTTCACAGTCTGTTGGACAGGTTGTGTCTAATAGCAAGCAAGAGGACGCAGGTCCCACTCAAGTAAGGCAAGAACCTAGTCATTAAAACATGGCATCTTTTAACTTTATACTTGAATCCCTCCCCATTAAAGCCTTTTATTCTATCTTTAGGGCTCCAACATTTAAAAAAATATGCTTTTAGCTTTTTCCCCCCTCTAGAGATGAAAATAGGCCATCATTTCCTTAGTGCTTTCACAGTTTTGGTTAATTTCTTATAATTTGATTTGTGTATTTAATTTGTGACTTGCACCAAAAAAAGTTAAGATTTTCACCCTTAAATGTCACAAGACTTGGGGTGCCTGGGTACCTCAATCAGAAGAGCATGTGACTCTTGATCACCAGGGTCATGAATTCGAGCCCTATGTTGGGTGTAGAGGTTACTTAAAAAAAAAAAGTCACAAGATTTTTTGGTCTTTTACTCTCCCCAAAATGTTTTTAATATTAGATTATAGGCAATTACTATAATACTATAGTATATAGTATAAAATACTAAAAATAGACACATCAAATTTTTCACTAGAAAAATATAATCAATGGGGTGCCTGGGTGGTTTAGTCGGTTAAACGTCCAACTTCGACTCAGGTCACGATCTTGCCATTCATGAGTTCGAGCCCCATATCAGGCTCTGTGCTGGCAGCTCAGAGCCTGGAGCCTGCTTTGGATTCTGTGTCTTCCTCCCTCTCTGCCCTTCCCCTGTTCACACACCCTCTCTCTCTCTCAAATATAAATAAACATTAAAAAATATAGGGAGTAGCTTATTAAAAATTGAAGTATAATGTTATTTATAATAATAATAAATTGAAGCAACACAAAGCTATGTAAGAGCAAGCGAGTCACTAAGCACATTAATATATATTCACTCAGGGGGATACTACACATTACGTTGTGGTAGTCTGTTCATTCACTTAGCAGATTTTCTGTCATCTGTTGCCAAATGAGCACAAATAGGTACCACAAAAGATTTTATAGAGTTCTGGGTTCTCAAGAAATTTTTTTCCTTTGGGTTTTCCCTGTGTCCAGAGTACATCATTTTATAAATGGAAAATAAATTATTAATAAAATGAACTGAAGCAATTTGTCAAAGTCAGAGTACAATGAATAGTATTATAAATTAAAAGTTAAGATTATGGTTCTCATGATCAACACTATTATTCTCAAATTATCCAATATATTTTAAAAAGTCTGCTTCATGAAACTTTTATTGGGATTCGATCTATTTATGTGTTTAATGGGATTATATTCTACTCCTTAATTATTAAATAACCTTGCAAATGTAGACCTTTTATGACTATCTTATTACCTTCCAGACGGCTAGCAATTTTAGGCCTATGACTCAAAGTTATACATCTTTTTTCAAATTAACTCTTACTTATTTGTTTGTTTAGAGCCAAATGGAGAAGAGTATGTTTAATGAGCAAACAGGTCAAAGTGACCAAATGGCAAATGGAAACAAAAGAAAGATGAATTTTTCCAGATCTGACAGGAAGGAATTTCATTTTCCAGAACTGTGTTTCACACTACAGTCCAAGGAGATGAAAGGAATGGAAGGTAAATATTTGTTGCACAGCTTTACAAATTTCCAGATGTTATAATTTACAAGACCTTTTTTTTTTGGTAAGATAACTTACATTTATAATGTAATTTCGATAGAAAATAGATTTCTGTGAAAAATATTTTCAGCTGATGAGAATTTTTTTTCTCGTAGTCAAGAGGTAAGACTTAAAGGAGATACTTTTAAAGAAGGATTAAGAAAACTTTAAAAGACACATTTTTCAGTAGCTCAGTCTTGTTGAAATGTTAGTACAGTATTTGAGGAAAGTGGTTTTGGTTCCATATATGACCTGGAGTAAATCAGTTTCCTTTGTTTCTCCATGATTTTTTCCCCTATAATAGCAGGAATGATATAGATGCTTTTGGCATCCAAAGGTATACTAGATTAAGATTTATAACATGTTTTGAGCTCTTAAAATGAAACATGCTTTTTTTTTTTTTTTGCAGAGTAAATGTTTTGTTTCTTTGAAGAACAGTGACACCTTGTGAAAAGTTAATATAATAGCAAGAATATAGTACTTGAGAATCTAGTACTTGAAGAATATAATTCAAGAGCAATTATCTGACCCACTTAACAGTTATATGCAGAATTTAAAAACTAAATGTCATATTTTAATACCTGGTAGGCTATCTGTAAAGTTATAAAACAAATCATTTATAATTGGCATGTTTTATCATTTCAACTGAAGATTTATTAAGTTGTATTTTAATATACTGAGAAACTGACTTTAGTGGATATCAGAATTTCTATTTGAAACTCTTAAAAAGGAAAGTAAAATTTTAAGGTAGGAATAACAAATTGTCATTGTTGCATATATTTTTGTAAAAGTTAAACAGATAAAAGTGCTGAAGAGGGAATCAAAGAAAACAGATTCATCTAAAATACCAACTTTACATAATACGGATAAAAATCAAGAAAAACAAGAGGTAAAACTTTTTTGTTTATAGTTTTAGTAAGGAGTGCTGTTTGGAACCCTTGACTTGGTATGTAAATTTAGTTATTGCTAAAAGTTATATAAACATACAAAATTCTGTAATCTTTGAGCCTGAAGAGCAGATTTCTATTCTCTTAAAATAACATATTAGTAAAAGGTTTTAAAAGTTATTTTTTGGAGTAATTAATAGCAGCCCTCATTTTTAAAAATATTTTATTTATTTATTTATTTTTATGTTTTTATGTTTTTATTTATTTATTTTTTACAAATAGTTTATTGTCAAATTAGTTTCCACATAACACCCAGTGCTCATCCCCACAAGTGTCCTCCTCCATGCCCGTCCCTCCCTCCCCCCACATCCATCAGTCCTCGGTTTTTGTCAGCATTCAAGAGTCTCTCATGGTTTGCCTCTCTCCCTTTCCCCCACCATTTCCCCCTTCTTCTCCCCCTTGTTCCTCCGTCAAGTTCTTCCTAATCCTATACGTGCAAACATATGATATTTGTCCTTCTCTGCCTGACTTATTTCGCTCAGCATAACACCCTCAAGGTCAATCCATGTTGCTACACATGGCCAGATTTCATTGTTTCTCATTGCCATGTAGTATTCCATGGTATAGATAAACCACATCTTCTTGATCCATTCGTCAGATGTTGGACACTTAGTCTCTTTCCATGTTTTAGCTATTGTGGAGAGTGCTGCTATGAACATTGGGGTACCATGTGCTCCTATGCCTCAGCATTTCTGTACCTTTGGGTAAATTCCTAGCAGTGCTATTGCTGGGTCATAGGGGAGTTCTATTGTTAGTTTCCTGAAGAACCTCCACACTGTTTTCCAGAGGGGCATAGCAGCCCTCGTTTGAATGTTGAGTGATTAGACTATATAGTACTCAGGGAAAATATCATGTATTCTATGTGTATTTTGTGATATTAGGCCCCTTTCTTCCTGTTTTCTCTTCAGTGTATTCCCCCATCTTTGCTTTCCACCACTAGTTCTATTTTCACAAAGATTTGTCCTCAGCTAGCTATCATATAATATTGTTGAAATGTCCCAACCCCTCCCCACCAGAGAGAGTCCTGAATTTTATTTGTAAATCTTAAAGATCTTCAGTATCCAAATGCATACTCTCTAAAGGTATTCTTTTAGATAAGGGGATTGTGCTCATAGAAATGGCCTTCTATGCTATGTGTTTGTAAGGTTAATCAACTTCTTTATATCAGTTTCTTATGTTATAAATTGATTATATTTTTTTACTTCACAATGAAATTAGCACATACTTAATTAAGGAAATTTGAAGAAATTAGCAAAATAGAGTTTGAAACAATTTAAGAAGGTATTTTCACCAAGTCTGTTCAATCTCTACATCATTTGGATTAAAGAGCTATCAAGTTCGAGCCCTGCGTCAGACTCGGTGCTGACAGCTAGCTCAGAGCCTGGAGCCTGCTTCAGATTCTGTAACTCCCTCTCTCTCTCACCCTCCCCTGCTCACGCTGTCTCTCCCTCTCTCTCTCACAAATAAATACAAACATGAAAAAATAAAGAGTTATCAAATATTGTTAGATATATCTTCGAAGTGATGCTTAGGCCTTATTTTTGGCTTAGAACTTGTTAAGAACTCCAGAATCCACTTTGCAAAAGAGAGCTATTTTCTAAATAGAACAAGAAAGGCATTAATGGCCATTTTCTAGTTCATCATAGAAAGTAATAAGGTGACCTTAAAGTTTTAAACATGAGTGACTTACTGATATTGTAGCATGTTGAGCAGCACACCCTTTGCACATTCCTCAAATGACTAACTAAATTAGGCTCCTGAGTTGTGTATTAGGCTCCTAGTAACGTGCCTAGTGTATTTATCCCACTGTCCCATGAGAGCCTCTAGAACTAAAATTATATTCCAATGCAGGAAGAAAGGAACTCTTAAGACAGTTCTTTCACTTAAAAATACATAAATAAATAGGAAGGTAAAATCCCTTCTTGCTCATGTGGTGTACAACTGCTTAAAAGTCGACCTTCTTGAGAGTGACCTTGAAACAGTTATGGTTATTAGAGAAGTAATCAGTGATGGCTGTAGTTTATTCATGCTGCCCATTCACATGCATTTCTGAAGAGTGAAATTGCATATAAGGCTAGTCCAAACACTTTTAATACGTTAATGTCAGAGTTAAGAAACTATCCTAAACTTTGAATTGGTAGTTTATAATTTTAGAGCACAAGAGAATACGAATTGTTTTTTAAAATGCAAGATAGGATATAGCAACTTTCTTGTTCTGTTCTTGGCTATGCCATTGACTTGGTTTTGAATTATCTAGTCAGATCCATGTGCTTCCCAGTTGTACATTCAACTCTTTCAGGCATCTTAAATGCTGAATTAGTGTACATATTGATATACATATATATGTATCAACATACCTATATTGAATAGACAACATAATCTAAGAGAAAACTTAAATTACTGCTGATGAGTTAGACAAGAGAGAAAAGAGTCCATACAAAAGCCACCTTCAGTTCTGTTTCATGATGATCATGAGGAATACTTTGTTAAATAGTCTCCCGTATAAAACAAACCCCAGGTGCAAAGTACAAGTACTTACCTCTGGCTATATTTCCTTAGCCAAAGACTTACCATTTCCTCAGTTAAGGTCCTGTTTCTATTTACTTTTTAGAATATAGGAAATGCACAAACTGAAAGGAAGAAGAACCTGCCAGATGTAGAGTAGAAAATGCAGAGCTGAAAATTCAGGGAGTCCTAGAATTATTGTATGGTTAAAAAAAATCCTTTTTATTAATATTACATTCATAAAAAAAGCTGACTAGAGAATTCTACAGACATATAAATCCTGTGTACTTATGTGTATATTCCCCTAAATTTTTAAAAATTTATTAATCTTTAAATTATTCATTTTTTCTTAATTTAAACACTAATTTATAGAAATTGCCCAACTGGTACATTCTAACTTACATTAAGTCACATAATTTTATTTGATGGCCTATTGTCTTAGTTATGTATAATTAGTGGTCATTCTTAGCTTTGGTTTAGAACTTTATAACTGTAGAAGGAAAAGTTTCTAATTGTGTACTAAAACGAGATCCCAATGTCTGGCAGCACCAAATATTTCTGAGCAAACAGTTATACTTGATAAGCATAAAATATGGATTTGGATCCACACTAAACGTTCTGGAACAGCATTTAAATATATCATGAAGGTCACTTAAGAGGATGGAAATTGAGGAAAGCATTGAAGCAAATCTTCTGGGCTGACCAGCATGTTTATCATTAATAGTTTATTACTATTATTATTACATATAATTTAACATTAATACAATCAAGGTTTTGGCAGCATATATTTAATTTCTTATTTCCGGTTCTTACTGGCTTGGTTTCTGATTTTAGGGTGGAGATGGCCATTTTAAGGGGAAGAATTGGAAGAGGAACAGATTTTTTTTCTGGTAGTGTCTCTTAAATCTTACGAATACAAATTGGCAAGTCTCCTCTTGTTTTATGTACAATAGAAATGTAACATGAGCTATTAAGACAGCCATGCATCTTGCATTAGCATCACCCATCTTTGTTTTTAGCAAACGATTCACTGTTTTATTTTCTTCTAAGAAATCTATTGGTTTAGAATTATGAAGTCTCCTCTCTGCCTGCTTCTTTACTTGCCATGGTTACTGAGTAGGTAACACATCCTGTCATACGACACACGCTATACATATACTGACCTTTGCCCTCTGCTAGTCACATAACCTGAAGTGTCTTTTATTTCCTAGAATGCTTGGGCTTCCTGAAGTGAGTTCTTAATGAAATATCTGACCCATTGTTTTAAAGGCTGTTCTTCCCCTTACATGATTAAAAGTACGTTTTTAGCTGTAAAAACATAATATTTATAAAATATCTGAAGATTACTTAATATTCAAGCGTTATTTAAATTCTTATATTCTTTTTTTGTTTTGCTTTCATTTAAATTCCACTTAGTTAATAATCCTTTTCTCCATTTGAACAAGTCTCAGCACTTTTCCAGTTTTCTCGTTCCATCGGGTAGTTAGTGTCTTTTATGTGGTACAGACTCTTTCTATTCCATAAAATAAATTATGTACAATGCAGAAGAGGTACACCGCTAAAATTCTCGATTGTTCTCTTCTTTTGTGTGTGTGTGTGTGTGTGTGTGTGAGTGTGAAACAGTTTTAATTTCGGTCATTTCGGCTTCTCGGCACAGTAAGAAATATTGCACATGATCAACATGTTTTGTTCTGGGGATGGGGATAAGGGTAGGGGGAGTCACCTTCTTAGAAAGTACAACCCAAGTTGGGAGGGCAGAGAGGGCGGGGAGAGAACCCTCCCCATGCCTGTGGCAAAGTGCAGGAGCCCCCACCCCAAACTAACCTGAGTCCAGCCCCTCTGGGGAAAAAAGGGGTGCATGAACTCCCCCTACTCCACAGGCACCTCTCCCTGTGGCCCAAGGCCTGCGCTACCCTCCAGCTTGTAGCCCTCACATGAGCCATTTTGCATAAAGTACAAGTGAAAAGGTCTGAAGGTAACACACTCCAGGTTATATACAGGGGCTCCGGGGAGGCAGAATGTGCCCCTGCTTCCCCTCAGCTGCCCCCCGTCACAGGGAGAAAGCTGTGGGGGAACGGGGGTCGATTGTTCTATTCTTAAAACAATAACAACAACAATAGTAAAATGGAATTATCTGGTATTCTACCAGGGCTTTACCTGATTTGGTATTTATTAAATAGACGTGAAAAACAAAGACAACATAATTTCCTTGTTACAATATTGTAATGTCTTTTTATCTTATTTTAATTATTTTTAAGTTTATTTATTTATTTTGAGAGAGAGACAGAGAGAGTGAGTGGGAGAGGGGCAAAGGGAGAGAGGGAGAGAGAGAATTCCACGCAGGTTCTGTGAGCCCAGAGCAGGGCTGGAACTCATGAACCATGACCTGAGCCAAAACCAAAAGCAGGACACTTGACTAACTGAGCCACCCAGGGGCCCTTCTTTTTATCTTATTTTAAGTTTGATTGGAATTAATACCTGAGATTATTATACATAATATACTTTTCTAACAGAATTCCTGTTACTTTTGGCAACTCCTTTCCTCCAGGGAAATTGAGTTGTTTCCTGTAGTTCAACAGAGAGAAGTCTGCCTCTTACCTGTTGCATTTGTATATTTGTTGATCCTACATCAACGTCAAAGGATTCAACTTGTACAAAAAATGTCTTCTTGGATTTTAATTGGGATTGTGTTAAATCTGTACATCAATTTGAGGAAAATTGGTATCTTAATAATATTAAGTCTCCCAATACATGAGTATAAACTCTCCGTTTATTTAGATCTTCTTCAAATTCCATCTGTAATATTTTGTGCCAATATTATACATCATTCATTAAATATATTTCTATGAGTTTTGTTTTTTGATGCATTATAAATGGTATTGTTTTTAAATATCATCTTCCAGTTGGTTTTGCTAATATACAGAATTACAATTTTTTTTTAAAATTTATCTTGTATTCTGAGACTTTGCTAAATTCACTTAATTTATTCTGGTAGGTTTCCTTCTTTCATTTATTCCTTCCTTTCTTCCTTCTTTTTTCTATATTCTATATTCCGTAAGATTGCCCAGATAGGCAATTGTAATGTCTACAGCCAAAGATAGTCTTACTTATTTCTTTCCAATATTTATGCCTTTAATTACTTTTTCTTGCCTTATTGCACTGAGTACTAGGACATGTAATGATGTTGAACAGAAGCATTGAGAGTGGATGGATATCCTTGCTTTTTTTCCAGTACTGGAGGGAAAAACCTTCAGCTTTTTCCCATTAAGTATGATGTTAGTTATGGGTTTTATGTAGATGACTTTTATTACACTGAAGAAGGTTGCTTCCCTTTCTCTTTGCTCAAATAGATATTAAATTTTGTTAAATGGTTTTCCCATATCAACAGAGATGTTCTTAGGATTTTCTTTCTTTATTATGCTAATGTGAATTCTATTAATTAATGTTTCACTGTGAAATCAACCTTACATTCCTAGGATTAAATTTCACTTGAGGGGCACCTGGGTGGCTCAGTCAGTTAAGCATCTGACTTCAGCTTAGGTCATGATCTCACAGTTTGTGGGTTTGAGTTCCATCCACATCAGGCTCTGTGATGACAGCCTTGAGCTTGCTTCGGATTCTGTGTGTCTCTCTCTCTGCCCCTCCCTGTTTCACACTCTTGCACGCGAAAATAAATGAACATTAAAAAAATTTTTTTTTAATTTCACTTGATCCCTTTTATGTTTTGTTTTGGATTTGGTTGGTTAATATTTTATTAAGGATTTTGGCATTTATGTTAATGAGGGATTTTAGTCCTTTTTTTCTTTCTTATATTGTACTTGTTTGGTTTTGGTGTCAATGTTACGTTGCTTTATAAATGAGTTGGGAAGTGTTCTCTCTTCCTCTGTTTTCTGAAAGAATTTGTGTAGGATTGATTTTATTTTCTCCTTAAATGTTTGTTAGAAACACCAGGGAAGGAGCGCCTGGGTGGCTTAGTGCAGTTAAGCGTTGGACTCTTGATTTCGCCTCAGGTCATGATCTCACAATTCATGGGTTTGAGCCCCGTGTTGGGCTCTGTGCTGGTAGTATGGAGCATGCTTTGAAATCTGTGTCTTCTCTCTGCTCCTCTGCCGCTTGCTCTCTGTATCTTTCTCAAAAATAAATTAAAATAAACTTAAAAAAAAAAAAAGAAACATCAGGGAGGCCATCAAGGCCTGGAATTTCCTTTGTGGAAATATTTTCTTATACAGATTCAATTTCCTTCAATTTATTTAAAGGATATCCACACCCATTATTTCTCTTTGTATCAATTTTGGTAATTTACCTACTTCAAAGAATTTATTCGTTTCATCAAAGTTGCTGATTTTATTGGGGTGCCTGGGTGACTCAGCTGGTCAAGCGTTCAACTTCCATGATCTCACCACTCATGGGTCTGAGCCCTGCGTTGGGCACTTTGCTGACAGTTCAGAGCCTGGAGCCTGTTTTGGATTCTGTGTCTCCCTCTCTCCTGCCCCTTCCCTGCTTGTGTACATTCTCTCTCTCTCTCTCACAAGAATAAATAAACAGTTTTTTAAAAGTTGCTGATTCTACTGACATAATATCATTTGTTATCTTTCTCTTGTTATCACTTTTAAATGAAGATCTGGGCCGACTGGGTGGCTCAGTTGGTTAAGCAGCCGATTTCAGTCAGGTAATGATCTCGTGGTTTGTGAGTCTGAACCCTGCATCTGGCTTTATGCTTAGAGCTCAGAGCTTGGAGCCTGCTTCAGATACTGTGTCTTCTTTTCTCTCTGTCCTCCCCCTGCTCATCCTCTCTTTCTCTGTCTCTCTCAAATATAAATAAACATTAAAGAAATTTTTTAGAAAGATTTAAATTGGTAAGATCTATGATGATGTCCACTTTATCATTTATTGTATTGGTGATTTGTGTTTTCCCTCTCTTTCTCTCTCTTTTTGATAAGTCTAGGTCTAGCTACAAGATTATCAATTTTAGTAATTTTTTCAAAGAACCAGTTTTGGTTTCCTTGATTATTTCTATTGCTTTTCCCTATTTTATTGATTTATGATTTATTGATTTATCTTTTTTGTTTTTTTTCCCCTGTTTATTTTGGGTTTAATTTGCTCTTTGTGATATTGTGATATAAGAAATACATATATTTTGCCTTCAACACCTGTTCCTGGTACAGAGATCCTAAAACCCTTATAATTTCCTGACTGATAAGGGTGAGAAGAACATCTTTTGTTATTCATAAGCTCCTTACAAACATACCTGAGTTTGTTTGTTTATTATTTTTTAAAAGATGTTTTAGAGGCACATGGGTGGCTCAGTTAGTTGGGCGTCTGACTTTAGCTCAGGTCATGGTCTCACTGTTTCTGGGTTTGAACCCCATGTCAGAGTCTATGCTGACAGCTCAGAGCCTGGAGCCTGTTTTGGATTCTCTGTCTCCCTCTCTCTCTGCTCCTACCTTGCACACTCTCTGTCTCGCTCTCTTTCAAAAATAAATGAACATTAAAAATTTTTTAAATTTGGGTCACCTGGGTGGCTCAGTCAGTTAAGCATCTGACTTTGGCTCAGGTCATGATCTCACAGTTTGTGGGCTCGAGCCCCACGTCAGGCTCTGTGCTGACATCTAGCTCAGAGCCTGGAGCCTGTTTCAGATTCTATGTCTCCCTCTTTCTCTGACCCTCCCCTGCTCACACGCTCTGTCTCTCTGTCTCTCTCTCAGAAATAAATAAAACATTAAAAAAGTAAAAAAAAATTTTTAATTACAAAAATAAAATATTTTTTTAAAGTTTATTTATTTATTTTGAGAGAGGAGGAGAGAGAGTGTGCATGCAAGTGAGCATGGGAGGGGCAGAGAGAGAGGGGGAGAGAGAATCCCAAGCAGGCTCTGTAAAACCACGAAGCTTAATTC